ACCTCTTAGCTATAGTATTATTAGCTCTTGATATATATATATATATATTCTTACATCCATAGCCTATTACCAGAATCCACGCACTGGCTCATAGCTAACGAACGCATCGAAGAGGCAAGCACAGTTCTCACGAGAGCAGCAAAAATGAACGGCACTGAAATATCAACTGCAGGCGAGTATATAAGTTAATTGTGCTTTTCAGCAGCGCGATTTTCGCCCTTCCATTACATGTGTTGTACACGAGACTTAACACGTATATTATTATTAACAAGAAAATGTGTATCCTAGATTTATGCTACAGAGCTCAACTTACAAGAATTCATGCATAGACTTTACAGAACCGATAGACTTCCAGAAGTACCAAATGGTAGTAGTACACATTACAGTAGTCTCACAAAACATGCTCTTCAATTTATGTGATTTTTGCGCAGAGTTGCATGTTCGTTGTAGCGTGAGTTGATAATAACTTTATTAATTTAAATAATACGTATTTTGTAAATTCTTTAGACTTGACCCCGATTGCACATAAAGAGGATAAGAAGAAAAAATACAGTATGATAGACGTTTACAAGACTCCGGGGCTCAGAATATTGGGAACGGTTGTATTTCTTATTTGGTAATGGTTTATTAAAGTAGCATCCACGCTAAAATCTGTTAATTGTGTCGCGAAATCGAATTCAATATCTACGAATATTTACGGCTAGTGGATTATTCAAACCCAATCAATTTTCTGGCTTTATCGCCTCTGGTAGACAATTATTCGACTTTCGCTAACCATTGCCTGCTTTTTCAGCGGTTTTTATCTGCCGATTAGAGTAACACACCAAAAATAGTAGAAATAGTGGGTCTTAAAAACAGAGCGTGATCTTGAAACCAACACGTGCCTTTATGATTTGCTAGCTAGGAGACAAGTTAACGGGAGCACTATTTCGTGAAGTAGTGATCGACTGCGTGTATGTGCGTACATTAGTAAGTACGAACATTTACCTATAAACTCATTCCGTGAGTATTTCCCTCACAGGATGGCAGATAGCATGGTGTACTACGGACTTACTCTGGGCCTGCAGAGTCAAGCAGGAAACATCTACCTGAACGGCTTCTTAAGCGGAATAGTTGAGTTTCCATCCGTTGCGATATCTATTCTGGCCGCAGAAAAGTAAGCATTTATCTGGTTTCTATTGCTTCGCAATAGAAGTATCATATCTATAGCCTCAGTAGCTTATATAATATGCAGCCCTAGTCGTATGACACAACACGTACCTGCATGGCGTCGTTCATAACTACATGTTGTCACTCGTAAGTGCAAGTTGTCATGTATTATCGCTGTCTCTATGTACGCCATGGCGTCATCCCCGGGCGCCATCATCCCGCGATGTTTACTGATAGTTTCCCGTTCGTTGTGCGCCGCTGCGACGTTATGACAGGTTTGGACGGATAAAATCGCTGTCGTTCTTCCACGTCTGCTCCGGAATAGCGATGATCGTACTCTACTTCACTCCACTAAAAACAGGTAAGGGGATGAAACGGGCAAAACAAGTGATCTATTTTTTCACCGAAACAACAGGACTGCAGCGCGTGTTTTCTTCTTAGTGTATTCTGCTTATCGGCCCAGTTTCTTAGCGTAATAGCGCTCAACATCAATAGAAATCAACCACTTTGACGGCGATGACACAAAATGTGGAGTTCAGTGACACCCACCCGCCACGACAAGACAACCCAGCACATACCATCCCAGATTTCCCACCACACTATCTGCTGTATGGTCCCCAAACATATTATTGTGGAAGCATGTTAGATATCTGTGTGTTCCAACTTCATATACATACATGTACAAACGGCTTCACATACTTTGTCATGGCGAATGCGAACGCAAACGTAGGGGTGCAGCACTCTAGATGGCAGCATGGTGGTCGCCTGTAGTTTAGAAATTGGCAGTCAGTGCGCCTATAGTATAGCTCAAGGGGTCGTTGTCGTAACAGGTACTACAGATATGTACCCGAGGTACATATATGTATACACAAAGAGTACCAGACTTGTACTACAGAAGTGTACCCTAACCCTAACACTAACCCTAATCCTAACCCTAACCCTAAATCTAACCCTAACCCTAACCCTAACCCTAAACATACCTCATATAAAAATATAAACATAATACTAAACAACCTAAAACTACCTCGGGTACATATCTGTAGTACCTGTTACGACAACGACCCTTCGTGCTATAGTATACTATATTACTATATATATATATATATATATATATATATATAGTGGATGACTCAGTTACGCTACCCAAGTTATTTTGTACGCGCATAGCAATAGTCTCGGTATACGTTCATAGTTACTTTTACGGGAAGGTCGCTAGTAGTGAAGCACAAATGCAAGCCGTAGAAGTTATCTTGTCACGCATTACGTCTCGCCCATTGTTAATATAGACGTCCAGCAATCAGATTCATGTTAGTTGGCCGGCCAGCCGTTTTCCTGTGTTCAAGGCCGACTCGAACGCCGTAAATGATGTTTTCCCCCTTGACCCATTTCGTGCACCACCCCTGCGGGCCAGCAGTTTTATAGAAGGGTCTGCCGAATCACACCCACGCGCGGCCATGCACGCACACACATGCAGACACAACTTCACGCATTCGCACATGTATGGGCGGGCGGACACACGCACGCACGCACGCACGAACAAAGACAACAAAGCACTCGAACGTGCGCACAAATGTTGCGCGGATAGTATTGGCGGTATTGCTTTACAGCTTTATTTTACATTACAGCTTTTTACATTACAGCTAATTTACAATACATAACATTTACATTACAGCTAATTTACATTACAGCTTCGGGCACAGATCTGGGCTGGCTGAACACGACGTTTATCCTCACTGGAAAATGCATGATAACGGCGGCATTCCGCATGATCTACATCTACACTGCCGAGGTGTACCCGACAGTCGTAAGGTGGACGTTGTTTCATATATGTAGCAGGAAGAATTTTGGAGCAATTAACGCAGATCGAGATCAATCGTTCGCTTTACTTAGTTATTTATGAAATTTAAAGTCGCATTATGTCCGGTTCGAGAAATATCGTCCGTTTTCTAAACCTCATATTTCGCGAATTTCTAACTTATAATATTGAAACACATCAGCAATACAATTCCTTCGTTATTCATACTGCGTATTGTATAATGTTATATAACACCGTGTGCGGGAATGAGGGGTTGTTTGATTTGTGTTGTTCGATCAATTTTTATCTGCACAAGTCATGTATCCTGCACATTGCTCATCCGCAGGAACACGGGGCTGGGCATGTCATCCAGCGCTGCGCGTGTAGGCAGCATGATTGCACCAATGACCATAGCACTGGTAAGCAAATTTCGCGGTCTTCGAAATGTTTACAGCTATAGGCGACTTGCTATCTCACACAAAAACAGGACGCGCTCATAAAACGTTTTATTATCGCGCATTTTATTCATTTTTACAATGATGCCTATTGACCACGAATTTTGACTGACGGTTCTGTTTTCAGCAACGCCATTACCCGTGGGTACAACCAGTTCTGTTCGCGGGCATAGCGTTTGCGTGCGCCGTCGTGGGCCTCTTCTTCCCCGAGACGAAGAACAAGGGACTGTCGGAGACACTGGAGGAATGGCCAGACTGGAAGGCCGGCAGGCTATCAGTCGGCGACAGCGGTGACGGGGGAACAAAGGAACTCGAAGCAGAAATGAAACCCATGGTTCCCTAATGCTGTATTTTCTGTAAAATTTCCATCACGGAATTAATACCTTAATTGTGTGATCTATCAAGGACTTACAAACGTGTTAACGTCAGAATAACGGTCTATTCATATTGAATATGAAATGAATGATAAATTAATCAATTAACATTGATTATCTAATTAAACATATATACACCCGTCTACAGTCTTGATTACAGAGCTATTCCAGATATTAGATGTAGATCTATGCGCAGAATATTGCTAATGTTTATAAATAATTGTATGTAGGCTTATATATAGAATAAACAGCGTGAAATTTTCATAATGCTCACTACCGCATGATCATCTGGGGAATTTGACATAAATCGAATAAAGGATATGCACACATGCAGGGAACGTAATGTGATAATAATTATTTCATTTTAAATACTTGTTCAACCAATACTTGTTCAACCAAACGAATTTACCAGGAATTTCTGAGAATAATCATTCTAGACTCTCAGCTCAGTGGCGCCACTCTAAGATAGCTGGTTGCTATACATCTAAAGTAATAAATTACATACACTTAGAAAGTTTCAGTGTACACTATTCATGCTAAATGACCACGAACTCACTCCAAAATGTTGAACATCACCTTGGCAAGTTCATTGCGCAGAATTGCGTAGTTTCTCAAAACAAATTATTGTTCTAGCCGTCTATACTAGCAAATTTATTACAAGTACAATGCAGAATGAAACATTCTAATGCCACGTATTGCCACAAAAATACAGAAAACCTATCCTCCATGACGCGAAGTAGTATTGGGAAAAGACCAAATTGTTCAATTGTTCACGTTTTTCGGACTTGCTTCAGCAGAGGGACAGGATTTCAGACACGAATGCCAATTATTTACTTTTTAAACTTTAGTCATTATTAATTAAAATGTAAAGCACATTTTACAAATTCGTATAATATTCATTTTATATAAAGCTGGTTTTCTTTTTCTTAGATGATGATATCAAGATGATATCAGGAGTGAATAAAAATGGATCGGATTTTACCAAGCACGCGTGGTGTCAGCCCGCACGGCTCCACTTTGAACGTATAACGACCGAAGAAGATTCTCTTGACAGTCAATAGACACAGACGCACGAGCGCCATCTTCATGTACAATAATATAGGCATAGCGGGTAACCCAGGGCGTGATGCTGCGAGCAAAGTGAATATTATAGATCCGATTTTACCAAGTACACGTGCTGCCGGTCCGCGTGGTTCCACTTTGATCGCATAAGAACGGCCGATGAAAATTCTCTTGACAGTAAACGGTGACCGACGTCGGAGCGCATTTTTCATGTACATAAGCATAGCGGGGACCACAGGGCGTGCTGCTGCGAGGAAAGTGAATATTATAGCTTTGACTTTACCAAGCACACGCGCTGTTGGCCCGCACGGCTCCACTTTCAACGTATAAAAACGGCCGAAGAAAATTATCTTGAGAGTCAATGGAGACCGACGCACGCGCACCATCTTCATGTACAATAATATAGGCTAGCGGGTAACTCAGGGCGTGATGCTGCGAGCAAAGTGAATACTATAGACTGAATTTTACCTAGCACACGTGCTGTCGGCCGACACGGCTCCACTTTGAATGTATACGAACGGCCGAAGACAATTCTCTTGGCAGTCAAGGTCGACCGACGTCAGAGCGCCTTTTTCATGTACATAAGCATAGCGGGGAACCCAGGGCATGATGCTGCATGCAATGGGAATATTATAGATAGGATTTTACCAAATACACATGCTGTCGGCCCGCCTGGCTCCACTTTAAACGCATAAGAACGGCCGAAGAAAATTTTCTTGGTAGCCAACGGTGACCGACGCAGGAGCGCCATATTCCTGTACATTATATAACATAGGCATAGCGGAGAACACAGAGGGTGATGCCGCGAGTAAAGTGTATCTTATAGATCGGATTTTACCAAGCGCCCGTGCTGCCGGTCCGCCCAGCTCCACTTTGAACATATAAGAACGGCTGAAAAAAAAATTCTTGACATTCAATGGCGACTGAGGCCGGAGCGACTTTTTCATGCACATAAGCATAGCGGGGAACCCAGGGCGTGATGCTGCGAGCAAAGTGAATATTATCAGGAGTGAATAATAATATAATTATATAGAAATAATATAAGATTAGATATAATAATAGATTTAATAATAATAATCTATTATTATTATTCACTCCTGATGACATGCATAAAAGCTTGCACCTGTATATACCACATTGTACTTTTGACGTGTGTATGACTTATCTGTACGTCACTACGCATAGTTGCCGCAGCTCCACGGGACGGTTTTTACAGATTTAAGTTATTAATGGCAATGAAATTATTAGGAGAGGAATAAAGTTTATGCTTAAAAAATATGGCTGATAATACTGACCATGCCTCACTTCTTCTTCACCTCTGCCACTAGGTATATGCCGAAATTTCATCTCTGACAATTTTAGGCGAATAGTGTCTAGTCCCCGTGTGTGGCACGTAATCATTGCATCATCACAGTATTCTTTATGGGTCCTAGGTATGCCGAAGAGGGCATTGTGGGATGAGGCATATATGTTGCCCTGTTATGTTGCTTATATATGTTGCCCATATATGCAGGATCCTACAGGTAAGTACTTTCGGTCTTTCCATTGATGTGTGTACTATTTATTGCCCCCCCCCCTCTTTATAGCCATCTCCACTGTATAAGGACATCTTTTGCATATAACATAATTGCGCGTACCACTCGGTAGGGTTGTATAGATTACTCTAGATCTAGACCAAGCCAATTGAATTTTATTGCATGATTTTTATAGCGTGTACAATGTAAGATACAGGTCAAATTACAGCCTTCATCTGTTATATAATTTTCTCGACGTCCTACCCGTCACAGCGCGATACGGCGATGATTTTTCTGGTACAATTTCTGCGTACTGTGCACGTATTTTAAAACCGGACATGAAAGTCCTAATCAAATATTATGACTGTCGTTGGGAATCAATGAGAGTGGGAGGACCACTCACATAGTTTAATGTTTGGCAGCTTTCATCATATTCGTGCGTGGGCATCCGTCAGTTTATGAGTGAATAAAATTCCTCATGCCTACATCATAAACCCATAGGGTCTTAGCTCAGCAAGATGGTCTGCTGCGGGAGCGTTTAGAAGAGTACGCGATTCAATTTGGTAGCTAGCTTTGGTAGTTAGGTTCTGTTTTGGTGTTATATTGCTTGAGTAGCATACGGCAATCGAAGCGTCTGCGACGGAAATGTGACATATGATGTACAAACAGAACCTGCTGTCTCTCCGTATTTGTTCACCTGAAGTCAACACAACTATATGACTCGTACAGTATTCAGCGCAAATATCGTCTAGTTAGCAAACAGTCTCGCATCAAAACAGGTCTAAGCCCGAACAAAAAAACTCTCATAGTGATGTAGTTGTATTCCAGAGCATGCATAGCAGAGCAAGCATATATATCAGGAATAGATAATAGGGATATATTATCTACTCCTGATATATACTCCCTATTATCTGCTCCTGTTATATATGCTAGCTCCTGATGGTATCGTGATAATTAATTCCTTCCGACGCTTCCCAATGATGTATTATCAACACTACCGTGCAACCGTGTTACCCATAGAGTACAATTTAATTGTCACTAGGAAATCACGTAACCGATACATATCCTTTAATCATCTCAATTTAATTATCCTTTAATCATCATCAATACATATCCTTTAATCATTAACCACCGAGGTATATCGTATGCATCACCAACCCAAATCCAACATAATCTTGCTTTCTAACATCAAGTGAAAATGTTTTATATAAATGGAATGGATGCGACATTACCTGCGTGTTTGAGACGCGACACGGCATAGTGGTATACGGCTTGTCCCCCTTATATTTACACGCAATATGCTATAAATATTTTCCGCCACGTGGTTGCACCAGCGTGTGCATACCTCTTCACAGAATAAGCGCCATTTTCACCACGGTGGTGTTCCTCAGTGCACCTATCGCCCCAGCTCTATGTATTCCTATTTAGACGACGCTTTGAACAAACTCGGAAAATATGGAAAGTGGCAATTTTTCCTATTCTTTCTGATAAACGCGTTACAGATATTTGCCAGCTTCCAAACTTTCTCGATAAACTACCAAGGACTGACGCCCGCACACCACTGCCGCGTGCCCGAAGGAGCAAATCTCTCAGATGCCGTACCGGGAAAGTAAGTACTTGTCTAAAATTCGTCCGTATATAAGTTCCACACACGCCGAGTCGTTATTACACAAACAACGGTCAAAGCAGCCGCGTGCGCGACCAAAATGTAACGAGCTTGTGATGATTCGTGGGGTGTAAAAAGTTTGCACATGATTTCTTCAGCAACAGCTGGATTCGTACCGCGCTGCTATGTTGTCCAGCGGTTGCATATTTCACAAACTAGTAATTACTATCGAATAGCTGTAATCCACGATATACGGTGTCAAATACGACCAGAGCAGGACCGTTGTCGCAAATTGTTAGCAAACAATTTCTACAATATTTGACAAGCCATGGTAAGATGTTAACGCTGCCTTATAGCCACATATCTGTGACAAGTCACGCAACTCTTTATCAGGAATGACGAAGACGAACTCTGGCAAGCGGACACGTGTAATCAGTACGTGAACTTTAGCCAGGCGAGCAACGAAACCATAAAGTGTCAAGATGGCTACTGGTATGATGATACATATGGAGACACCATCGTCCCGGAGGTATGCTACGCTGCCACATTACTAGCGTCGGCAATACATATCTGCTAGCATCGTAGCTGTGGCGTAAATGAGCCGGCCATCAATTTTTTTTTTAAAGGGGCAGAGTCGAAATTTCGAGATATGACCACTGGCAAAATTGTTATTATAGTCAATGGGCGCGTGTGTGCTGTACGTGCGGGCTTGTTCTTGCTGCCAGCGGATATGACTAGATAATGACAATCGAGTGAGTGCATTTAGGCGTTATGCTCCGCGGAGGCTATGCACACGCTGTGACTCCATGTGACTGTGGAAGTCGCGTTTGTATAATACACGCGACTATCTCAGAGACTGCGTAAGCATGCGCTACCTCGATGCAAATGTAAAGTGCATAAAGCTTGCTATATATCTAACCTGCTGGGCCACAGCCCTGGGGGCAGTTACTCCCTCATTAATTAGCAAATATGCATAATAACCTTAAAATGAATATAATAAATAATATAACAAACATATCCCTTCAACCTAACTTCGTCCTATATGTTTCTCGAAACCGTAAAAGAAATATGCTGTGCCCCCGTCATTATTCAGTTATATCGCGAAATTGTGAACCCATCTAGGAATTCCCCCAGACTCTCTAGGATTTGTGAAACAGATAGTTATAGGTGAGAAGTTCCTTGGACAAGTTCATCGCGAGAAGGTTTATGAGCTCCTTGCGCAAACTATATCCATCTTGGTTTTACAAATCTTGGTCGTGCCAGGATTCAGCCTATTCGGCTCATTCGCACCGCGGTGATGCTTTCAGTGGGACATCGTCTGCGACAGAAGCATCCTCGTGGATCTTTCCTCCTCTTCGTTCTTCGCCGGTAAACTTGTCGGGGCGTTAATCGTCAGCGTTTTGGCCGACGTTTACGGACGAAAATGGACCATGATCATATCGAACCTGCTCTTCCTGGTGTCGGCGATCGTACAATGTTTCGCTAGCAGCTACATCATGTTCGCCGTCATGCGCTTCTTCATCGCTGCATTCGAAACGGTACGAGCCGGCTCCCTGGCGGGCCAGCTGTAGCAGCATGTGCCATAGTTTAATGTTTACCTATTAAACTAGGTAATCTCTGTAATTAGTATTACATGGTCTTAGTAAAAAAGTAATAAATAATTTTAATTATTTCAAGAATCAGTAGCAAATGAGTGTTTAAATAGTAATTAAATAGAGCGAATGGGAGGAAATTACCGCGAAATCTCATGAAGGCAGAATTTTATTTTCAAGCTTAAACATTGAGTGCACTAGCATTCAGCAAATTCAGCCAATGCATTGAACGTTAACACCCATTGCTGTTCGGTTCCGCTGTTTCAGGGAGGGTATCTAGTTGGATTCACGCTGTTATGTGAGTCCGTGGGTCCGCAGGCACGGGCATGGGTCACCGTACAGGACCAATACTTTTGGGCGTTTGGTATGATGTTACTTCCGGCCATCGCCTATCTTGTGCCTGATTGGAGGCTTATACAGATCATCACCACCGCACCGATGTGCTTCATGTTTATCTATATTTGGTAGGAAGTCTTAGTTAACCACATTTCCTAAAGTGTCGCAACATTTCTGCAACTTTAGTTACTTGTATGTGCAAGGTCATTCACGTCTACCTCATACGAACACGTTAAAAGAATGAATACATTGTAATGATCATTTTCTTCTAAAATCGCACTTTTTTAATAACTTAATAAATTGGACAGGGTTTACTATAGATGTAATCTAGCGTTATTCCAACATTCCCGCATTTCATTGGTTGGGTATTTTATTTTTACAGCGGTCAGGGATTAGTACTTTATTGTTGTTTGGTTATTTTTTAATTATATAATTTGTTAGGTTTATTTATATGTTTTATCAATTTGATATTTTAATATCTATAGGTTGGTCTAGGGTTGGATTATGACAGGTTTTATGACAAATGATCATTCTGGCAACCCTCTATAATACACTAAAGTATGTGATACTCTGATATTGAGCCCAAGTTTTAGTATATATATATATATATATATATATATATATATAATATATAATTTCTTGCATTTATAGCTTACTACCGGAATCGATGCACTGGCTTATAGCCAACAAACGGCCGAACGAAGCCAAGACCGTTCTTGTGAGAGCAGCAAAACTTAACGCCACTGAAATATCAACTGCAGGTGTGATTACAATACGCAGGAATTGCGTAGCACGCGCAATATCACAAATTCATACCTAAGCAAATAAGTAAAACAGTAATTCGGGAATTCACCCTATACCTGGTATACACCTCAGATCTACTCGTGTTCTGTGCAGGAGCGACATATTTTGGTAATAGCGACTGTGCCCAATGCTCTCAGCCGACTCTCTGATCTTCAGACAAAACATTTGTCTCAAATATAGATCATTTTATATCTCAACCACGGTTGTTGGGACTCAAATTTGTTGTGTAGTTTGAGAATTACACACGGCCCATCACTGATGGAAGAATGTTTTTGTAGTATTACAATAAATATGTCAGTTAGATGTACGTTCGTGGAGGATATGTATTCAGTTGAATAGCGTTGGGTGACAAATATGTTGCAATGCAGGTTGGCGATAACCTAAATAATTAAAACTGCCTATTATGTAAATTCTTCAGACTTGACGCCAATTACGCATGAAGATGATACGAGGAGAAAATACAGCATTGCAGACGTGTACAAAACCCCTGGGCTTAGAGTTCTAGGAACAATTTTATTCCTTATTTGGTAATGATTTATTGAGTCAGCATCCGCTTTAATGATGATGTCACTGCAAGCTGGGCGCCTTATTGACGAAAATCGAATGAAATTCCATCGCACAACATTAGCCCACGTTATTATTTATTTACGAACTCAATTCGTAATCAATTATCTCAATGGTTATAAAATTATCGCACTTACATACAGGATCGCAGACAGCCTGGTGTACTACGGCCTTACTCTTGGTCTACAGAACCAATCCGGCAACATCTACATGAACGGCTTCTTGACCGGAGCAGTAGAGTTTCCAGCCATTCTGATAGCCATATTGTCAGCTGAAAAGTAAGTATATATCGGATTTCGACTGCAGCAACACATAGTATACATATATAGAGGAGCATCGGTAAATTCCGCGACGCAGGATTGGTCTATTTTAATTATCTGGGAACCGAAAAATACGAGCTAATTTTTTCGTGATTCGGAAAATAGTCAACCGAGACACAAGCAAGCCCTGAATTGCGATTTCATTTAACTGGGATACGGAAAAAGGCATATTTTTGCATGGAAAACTGGAAATGGAACACACCCACGTTACCCCTTTGTATATGTGGGTCTGTGCATGACACAACACCCAACTGCATGACTATACTTTCTTCATTATGTTGTCATTCGTAATTGCAAGTTATCATGTATTATCGCTGTCTCTATGTACGCCATGGCGTCATCCCCGGGCGCCATCATCCCGCGATGTTTACTGATAGTTTCCCGTTCGTCGTGCGCCGCTGCGACGTTATGACAGGTTTGGACGGGTAAAATCGCTGTCGTTCTTCCACGTCTGCTCCGGAATAGCGATGATCGTACTCTACTTCACTCCACTGAAAACAGGTAAACTTATATCACACCGAAGCGGCAGTCTCGTCATCACGACGAACATTTATCTCACCCGCTTCTAGTCTGCATGAATTTTCCTCAAGTTTTCCCATCAATCTATCCACTCTATAATTCTCAAACACGATATCAAGAGCCGATGAACTGTAGTTCATGAGTTCATGAACTATCATACCTAATTGTCGTAAAGATATACACCTGCACCGTAAAAACAAAACGAATACGCGCGGTTAGGCTGCAGGTGCAAACACAAACAGCGATCAGGCGTATGATACATGGTATCGTTTTGTTATTGCAGCTTCCGGAACAGATCTAGGTTTGCTTAAAACAGCGTTCATCCTCACTGGAAAATGCATGATCACGATAGCATTCCGTGTGCTTTATATTTACACTGCTGAATTGTATCCAACAGTCGTGAGGTGAGCCTATACGTAGATAGCTAGTCACATGTGCACTAATCAGCAAAAGCCACATTTGAATATCTAACCATATTAAATGCATATTCATCACAAAATCTAACTCCTCTGGCGAGATATTGCGCATGCGCTAACACGCTAACGTAGCCAGATTGTGTACTGACCGGTAGGGTATATGCAGCGGGGACCTGGCATGGAAGGTCTACTAATAGGATGTTATCATATAGATCTAAGCTAGGATGACTCCTCTTCATTTTAAATGCATAATCTTTGCAAAATGTTATTATTCTCGGGAGATATTGCGCATGTGTGAGCACCGTTTTTGGCGTGCAATACGGACTGAAAAACACTGCATAATATAGCTTGCTGAGAGAGAGAGGCGTAGGAGCAAAAGGCGGCAGAAAATTAGAGATAGCTGAGGGGCGGTAGAAGAAGGAGGCTGAGCGGGGGGGGGGGGCAATAGAGGCAAAGGGAAAGACGGGAGTGGATGAATCAGGAGTTTTGCACACTACAGGCCGCAATTTATTTAAATATTTGAACACCTTGATCGTTAATAGAGTTAGTATCTTTTTACATATTAGATCCCCCATCAGCCACGTAGTAGCACCGCTCCTTAAAAGAGGAATAGATGGCGACTCAGGCATACATGAAGACACACATGATTTTAAGACACTGTTCTTTTTGTGCTGCTTAGATATATCTGCGATTACCAGGTAAATATTTCTCATCCGCAGGAACACGGGGCTGGGCATGTCATCCAGCGCTGCTCGTGTAGGCAGCATAATTGCACCAATGACCATCGCACTGGTGAGCTAGATTTCCTAATGAATTTACTCCTAGCGTTACTGAATTCATTATATCAGGAGTAGATAATACCTATTATCTACTCCTGATTATATCAATACATGTCTCGTAGTTGTTCTTCCTATTCCCTGCTCAGGATGTGAACATCTTCGCTTAGTTCCGTACCCATGCAAGTTGCAATTTAGCTTTCTGTAACGTTATATAAGTATAGTTTTGATGGGGTATTCTAATATAGTACATAAACAAAATTTTTGAGCGAAATGCTAACATACGTTCGCAACCGCAATTGGCAGCTTTGTTCCAATTTGAACAAAGTTGCAATGACTGCATTGACTGACGCTTACGTTTTCAGCAACGCCAACATCCGTGGGTACAACCAGTTCTCTTCGGGGGCATAGCGTTTGCATGCGCCATTGTGAGTTTCTTCTTCCCCGAGACGAAAGACAAGGGCCTGTCGGAGACACTGGAAGAATGGTCAGACTGGAAGGCCGGCAGGCTATCCGTCGACGACAGCGGTCACACGGGAACAAAGGAACTCGGCGAAGAAATGAAACCCATGGTTTCCTAATTTCCGCTTGTCTGGACGAATCCTATCACGGAAACCTCATCTGATTTGCTTGGTAGCGTTTCAAATATTTTATAGTGAGAATCTATGGTATATGCTATAGTGTAACTATCTATTCATATTGAACATGAAACGAATGAAACAATAAATCAATTCACATTGGTTATCTAATTAGAGCATACACGTGCACGTGTGGTTTTGTCTTCGTTGCAGAACCGCTGTGGATACGAGCCGTAGATCTATAGCAGAATTGCAGAATATTGATCACGTTTATGTTTAATTATGTGTATATACAAAATAATCAGTAGAATGTCTCCATAATCTTCAGCATATGAAAAATTCAATAAAAATATGCGAACAGGCAACGTAATGTCGTATTAAATTATATCATTTACTATACTTCTCAAAGCAATGTAACGAATTTTCTAGCAATTTCGGCGAATTATTTTGCTACACTCCCGGCTCGGTGGCGCCCGTCTCAGTTAGCTGGCTGGTACATCCAACATGATTAATTATATTTACTAAGAAAGTTTTCGTGTATAGACAACAAACAATTTATTCATACTAAATCATCACAAATGCAATGCATTACTTAACCTCCAGAACATAACCTTGACAATATCATTAAGCAGAACTGCGCGATTTTATTCCCAAAAAACAAATATTTATGTTTTCTAGACGGTTATAGAGCATCTATATTACATGCTGTATGCAAAAAATACATACAACTGCAGCTTTTTACTACAAATAAACGCAGAAAACTGATTTGCCATGACGCAATGTAGTGAAGAATTGGCAGAAGATTAAATTGTTCAATTGTTCACATTTTTCGGACTTGCTTCAGCAGAGGGACAGGATTTCACATAATAAACGCGATGAATTTATAACAAAAGATAATAAATAAATAATGAATAAATAAATAAATCCTATCCTGGTAGTAAGTGGGGGATAGGGTGCGCAACTTGCGATGAGCACCTTCTGTGGGCTTCTTCGCGACGGGAGACGTGGGTGTCGTGTCGTCCGGCATAGATTCTTCTAAGCGCGAACGACACGACCGCTCTTTCTGTCTCTCTCTTTCTCTCTTTCGCTTTCTCTTCCTCTCACTCTCTTTTACTCTTTCCTCTGTCTCCCCCTCTCTCCTCTCTCTTTTTTCTCTCCCCCCTCTCTCTTTTTTCTCTCCCCCCCCCTCTCTCTCTCTCTATCCAACACACCAACATCTGTTATTATGTTTGTCAGGGGGCATACTGGCCGCTGGAATTTGATCAAACTCACGTGCTTAGCGCGGATGCGTGATTGGGTGGGTGGTTGGGTAGGGGGGGGGGGATAGAGGATATGCCGCTTGCTTACAAAGTAGAGCCACGCATTTATAACTTTAGTTACTCGCTTGAATATTCTCGTCTCCGCCACAGGCACTTGGAGCGTTTCAATAAAATATAATGCAAAATAAATACGAAATCTATTTACTACCAAAGTCTTAATGTTTCTCTACTCTCTTTCACCTATTATTGCCGACAATTTCCTGTAAATGCCGTTCAAATGCTCATCTGCAACACACGCTGGCCGCCGCACGCTAGCTGCTGCACACTGACACATAAATATATATTTATATTTATATGGAAATGGTTTTAATTATATTTTTTTAATTTTACCATTTTAATTGTAAATATTTATTTCACGAAGTAAATGTGAGAATATTTAATTTTTTAAATTTTTTTTTGAAAACAAAAATATTTGTTGTGATGGTGAATATTTATGTAAAGGACAATTTAGGTTTCAAATATGTACGTATTAGATAGATAGGGTATATACACAGATACACTCAGGCACAAATAAACATACAGCACATAAAATAACAAGAACACACCATACCACACCAATAATAACACACCGCTCGGCATCACACCTCACCCGCTACACTACATGCACCACGCTGCACTACACTGCACTACACTACACTCCACCAAGCCACACCATGCAGTGGCGTAGCCAGGATTTTTTAACAGGGGGGGGGGGCAAAAACAGCGAACTGCGCAAAATAGTGGATGACTTAATATTTTACTGGTTCCTCCGCCTTCCCTCTCCACACCCTACGTTATGTGTAATGTTTAAAATGTAGATCGCAGGAGATGATATTTGAGGCACCTTTGAGTACATGTACAGCCTTCATTCTGACTACGACAATTCTCTTTTTAGTAGAACAATTCTTATTTTTTAATTTTATTTTTACTTTCGGATCAACAGGGGGGGCATGGCCCTTTTGCCCCCCCCCCCCCGGGGGCCACTCACCCCACATTATGGTAGGTATGTGCCACTGCGAAGTCAAAAATGGGGGGCTCTGGAACTAGCTCAGACCTGAAAATGGGGGTCTCTGAAAGACTGGAACTAATGTTTGTTAAATGCAGGATGCTCTGGAACTGGCTATGTTCGAAAATGGGGGTCTCCGGAACTAGGATTTCGTTGAAATGCAATGCTATGGAACTGGACACGTTTAAAATAGGGGGTCTCCGGAACTGTGGGGGAACTGTGATTTGCTTTAAAATCTATGCTGTAGCACTTGAACCAATAATTGTTGTAGGTACAGGAGAGAAAAACATGACCAGGCAGATGAACGCACGCACACGCACACACACACACACACGCGCGCGCACACACACACACGCACGCGCGCGCACGACTGCACGCACGCACGCACGCACGCACGCACGCACACACACACACACACACACACAGTGACACACACAATACACACACACAAGCAAAAACTTGAAAATAAGTTAACCAAACCATCCATTAATTAGCTTCATTCTTTAATTAAGAATTACTAATAAAAAAAACTTCAAGTAAATGGGCAAAAATTTACTAACCCTTCTGTTAACATGTCAATGTAACACTTTGGTCAACACTTGAAAATGTTAAAAACTAGGATCACCGGAACGGCAAAAATGTAAGATCTGCATGGTAACTAAACTTGTGATGCTCTGGAACGAGATATTCTTAAAAATAGGATGCACTGGAACGGAAGTTTAGGGTTGAAAAGGGGGGTCTCTCCCGCGGCACACACCTACCATGCAATATATATGGAGTGCCCCCCCCCCGGGCTTTGCCCTCCACCCTAACTACGCCACTGACACCATGTACGCCACACCCCGCTATATCGCACCACACCACACGACGCCAAACCACACCACACAACACTACACAACACCATGCACACTACACCACACCACACCACACCACACCATACCATACCATATATCGGTATAGCCAGGGACCTTCGGCAGAGCAGTGCCACCACGTGGAAGTAGCGACGGTGGATTTTTCGATGAGCACTTTCTCTAGGCATGCAACGCTCTATATTAAATGCTTAATGTCGGCCCTAAGTCATTTGCATTGGTCGACAGGTCGCCGACGTGTCCCCGCCCTATCCCCGTACATTGGGATAGCAAGGGACCTATGACATACCGGTGCCATCCACGTTGAAGTAGCGAGGGTGTATTTTTCGTTGCGCACCTTCTATAGGCATGCCATGCTCTAAATTAAATGCTTACTGTCGCCCCTAAGTCATTTGCCTTGGGCGACAGGTCGCCGACGTGTTACCGCCCTGCCTGTACATTGGTATAGCAAGGAACCTATGACAGAGCGGTGCCACCAAGTTGAAGTAGCGAGGGTAGATTTTTCGTTGCACAATCGCTCTGGTGAATTCAGTTGTGAAGCCAGAGGGAGAGCGCCATCTGTCGTGAAGTTTGAAGACCACATGGCCACATTTGTCAGGGGTCAGAGGTCATATCATAGATATGTGGCCGATATCTATTTATCTGTGATCTAAAATAAGTTTTCGCCCACTGATTATTCTTCTCATTTATCCAATTTTATAATTCCGCATCAAACTGTATTAAAACAATTATTTGTTATTTTATGTGAAATCGGCAGCGAGAACATCGGCTCGATAGAGGCAAAACAACACAGCAACATGGATATCACGAACTTGTTCAAAGCTAGCATCAAAGCTGTTAAAACACGTAATAAAGCTCTATCGAAATCCAAAACGGTTGACAGAAGTATTTTAAACGTTTCAAAAACAAAAAGTACAGAATTTTCAACAAAGTCAAAAGATGTGGTAAGTATTTTTGAACCAATCCACTGACTGGCACTGGCGCTGCCACTGGCAGTGGCACTACACTACGTCTACGGTCTACACTGTACAGTCAGTGAGTCACAGGCACTTGGAGCGTTTCAATAAAATATAATGCTAAATAAATACGAAATCTATTTACTACCAACGTCTTAATGTTTCTCTACTCTCTTTCACCTTTATTGCCGACAATTTTCTGTAAATGCCGTCCAAATGCTCATCTGCAACACACGCTGGCTGCCGCACACTAGCTGCTGCACGCTGACACATAAATATATAGCAGGTAGGAAAGCGTGCTGCCAAAATTCGCTCGACTCTCGCTTGATTTCACACAAATACAACACAAATATTCAACCATTCTACTCCATCTCTGTTTCTATTTGAAGGACAGTGTTCACTTGTTATATAACATACTGTCTGTGTTCGTAACCGAGCTGTGTCACGCGAAATCACACAAAGTCGGACAAAATTATTGCGTTCACTCCCGTTGCGCAGTTTATGTAAACTTTGGGAAACTACCACGCTGCTTTCAAACTCCCGTACGAGCCTCGTCAAAGCCGCCAGTGGAGCGTTGCAATAATGCGGCGCAAAAATTAGGTCATGAAGAGCGCTGGTGGGTACGTGTTTCCTGATTCCGACGGCCATTTACATAAACTGCGCAACAGGAGCGAACGTGAGAATTTTGTCAGGCTTTGTGTGATTTCGCGTAACACAGCTCGGTTACGAACACAGACAGTATGTTTTTATAACAAGTGAACACTGTCCTTCAAATAGAAACAAAGATGGAGTAGAATGGTTGAATATTTGTGTTGTATTCGTGTGAAATCAAGCGAGTGTCGAGCGAATTTTGGCAGCATGCTTTCCTACCTGCTATATATTTATGTGTCAGTGTGCAGCAGCTAGCGTGCGGCAGCCAACGTGTGTTGCAGATGAGCATTTGGACGGCATTTGCAGGAAATTGTCGGCAATAATAGGTGAAAGAGAGTAGAGAAACATTAAGACGTTGGTAGTAAATAGATTTCGTATTTATTTAGCATTATATTTTATTGCAACGCTCCAAGTGCCTGTGTGTACAGTGTACTCAGGACTGTATACTAGTGACTAGACTACATTAGTAGCAGTACTACTAGTACTCTGACTCTGTAGACTGTAGTCTGTAGTCAGGACTACACTGTACAGTGATTTAGTGACACTGACAGTGTTGGAGCATTGCATTAAAATCATGCTGGTAAATAATCCTGATTACTTAAAGGGATACTAGACTCTAGGATTTTACTGCATACAACTGTACTTACTGTATAACAAATCGTCTATACCCCCACGTACTTGTTACCAGATACCTAATTTAATTGTTATGATTAATTATACATCAACACTACAAAATTTGAACGGCGCCGTTGACACCCGCGACAGTGCTTCCACCCTGAAAAAGTTGCGCATTTCCCGATATATTTTACACGTTACAGACCGAGGGCTAATCACAAAGGTGCAATTATATTTATACCTAAATGCTATTTAGCCGAACGATGTTCATTTTAGGACAAATTTATCCATAATATAACTGTAACTATATGTCGTTTATAAGATATTACAATCCTTTTGCTTTTAAATTAATAAATAAGAAACACCCTCGGTCTGTAGCCCTTGGCTGAAAAGTCATCTTGCGCAACTTTTCAGATTGTGCGCTTTGAGTGGCGCCACCGTCATTGTAATCAAACTGTAGTCGTTACTTTTAAAACATTAAAAAAAATTTATAACATCATTGTTCACGGTTAAATCCTTAAATTATTTACTTTGACAGTTTCATCTGTCGTGCTGACAGCTATTTTCAGAACTTCTGAATTCGTCACCAGATGGCAGTAGGTGACAGTGATTCGAAAACTGTCAGATGTTGGTCGGTGGGGCCCCCTGAGCCGATGGTCTGGTCCTGGGCCTGAGAATGTTGTCATACACATATATGACAGTACGTCATATGTTCCACCATGTGGAAAATTCAAAAGACTTAGTGGATTCTCTGAGAGACGTAACTCTAGCTGACGACGAAACCCTCGTGTCATTTGATGTCGTGTCATTGTTCACCAACACTCTGATTGATAAATCCCTGGAAGTGATCAGGGAACGCTTGGAGAAGGATGAGAAACTCACCAGCAGAACCCTCTTGACGGTGATTGACAATATTACATCTCTTCTCGAGTTTGTTCTGTCTACCACATAATTTAAATTCAACGGTGAGCTGTACCAACAAAAATTCGGCACAGCCATGGGAAGCCCAGTATCTCCTATCATAGCGAATTTATTCATGGAGTCTTTGGAGGAAGCCGCCATCGATAGTGCACCAGCAGAAGTTTGCCCTACACTGTGGAAAAGATACGTCGACGATGTGCTAGCCATTATCAAGCAAGGCTTCACCCAACGTCTCAACGACCACCTGAACACGATCGACGCCACAGGGAACATAAAGTTCACCAATGAAGAAATGGTCAATAACCAGATAGCCTTTCTGGACACAGCGATAGAGAAGAAGCCTGATGGTACGTTAAAAACCAAGGTTTTTCGAAAGAAAACACACACAAACCAATACCTCAACTTCACCTCTCACCATCCCACCATCCACAAACTAGGAGTAGTCAGAACTTTATTCGACCTAGCCAACACTATAGTCATGGAAGAAGAAGACAGACAGTCGGAACTTGTGAACATTAAAAAAACCCTCACTACTTGTGGCTATCCCCAGTGGTCGTTCACTGAGGTCGAACGCCAAATTCAACAGAAAGAACGTAATATCACCACCAGGAAGAAGGATAACACCAATAAATCAAAAGGACAATTTGTCATCCCCTACATGAAAGGGCTATCGGAGAGATTTTCAAGAGTACTTAGGTCCAACGGGGTGGGGCCATCTTATAAACCCCATACTACGCTACGGAACCTACTCGTACACCCTAAGGACAAAATAGATACACATGACACTTGCGGTTGCATCTACCAAATTGATTGTAAGAATTGTGACAGTGTGTAGATTGGTGAGACCGGTAGGAAGTTTGGTACACGTCTTAATGAACATAAAAAAGATCGTGGATACCTCTGCTGTCTGACAGCTCTAGCCGTACCCGGGCAGCCAGCGCATCAACGACAGGAGTACTGCATAAATCCGCTATCACTGACCACATGGTGGACCGTAACCATGTTCCGAATTGGTCATCCGCAAAAGCGATGAAGCCAAGGAAGGAACTATTGGATAGACAAATACATGAGTCTATCCACATAAGCAAACACCCCCACACTATGAACAGAGATGAGGGGTCATACAAACTGTCATATGTGTACGACAACATTCTCAGGCCGAGGACCAGACCATCGGCTCCGGGGTCCCCACCGACCAACATCTGACAGTTTTCGGATCACTGTCACCTACTGCTATCTGGTGACGAATTCAGAAGTTCTGAAGATAGCTGTCAGAACGACAGCTGAAACTGTCAAGGTAAATAATTTAAGGATTTAACCATGAACAATGAAGTTATTAATGTTTTAAAAGAAATCCGACTATGAACTTTCACGATTTAAAAAAAAGTATTTCTAATGGTGATTGAACCATGAAACTTTTTATGTAGTGTAATTTTAACCTAAATTAACTGAAAATAGCCCTATAACCTAGAGTAAATGATCCATTTAAGTATCAATGATACTCTGTTTTTTTGTTCCTATTGCACTGGCAGTTCTAACAAATCAGTAAAAATAAAAATAATGCGTAATAAATCTTATTGCACCACTAATAACTCTCCTTTCTGCGGTAAACAACTCACTGCAAAAGAAAAGCCTAACGTCGGCGCGAATGCTGACTCTCTGCACTACGCTGCGATAACCCTCGTGATGATGGTTACCTCCTGCAGCATGCGTGATACAAGTCCTTTCATCCTGCTGGCCTAGCTGTGTCACTTTTTATATTTTCAAAAATTTCCAGTTACTAATCGATGTTTATAAGAAACTTCATGGATACATTACCATTCATATCAGTAAGGCTAAAATATGCTTTGTTTTATTTTACAGGTCACCAATATTACCAAATTGAGAGACTTTCTGTTAGAGCATAGAAAACAATATATAAATGTCAGGTAGAGTGCTGTTTTGATATATGTGATTGATTGGGCGAAAATTACTGAAATAAGTCCAATAGTGTCCCAGTTTTTAAACTAAATACATAGCTAGATTAAAGTGGATAATCCTCGCAACAAAATGCTTAAATACACCTACTGTGAGCAGACTTGCAATATTAGAAGAACATCACGAAATGTTCTCATTGAACCAGAAATGTGCTCCGAGATAGAGCATTTTGAAAACTTTCTTGGGAAAAGTTTTGGCATATAGATACACATAAATTGTTGTTTAGCGAAGCGACCGAGAACGCTAACAGTAGGCCTACGCTAGCGCAAATAGGTCATGGAAAGAAAATACTGTATTTGTTTGCTGATTGCATAAGTAATGTAATTAACATATTATTTAAACAAATTGTACAATTTTGTACTGAAAAATCATTGAATAATAAATTATAACTTGTTTTATCAGAGAAAAGAACGTTTAATGAATTACAGTGATCGCTCAGCTGTGTCCTGGATGTGTAAACTTCCTGTGGTGCTACTTTCGTTTAGATATGCTAAAGAAATATAATGAAATTAGCAATACAAATAAGTTGTAGTGGATTTTTACAACATAGACGAGCTCATAGTAGGTATATCTATGCATTTTGCTGAGGGAACTGGCCGTTTTAATAAGCCTCTGACTCAGCTAATTTTTTTATGCTTTTTAGTTAAATCCTCTGGGCCCAGTCACAGACTTTGTTTCATTTTCATGGCTTTATTGAAAGGAGCATGTAAATAATCGTTGTGCTCTTGTGTGGGCTAAATTTTTTAGTGTTATCAAAAATTCCGTGTTTTTTCAATTATCAAGATCGTTTGTGGTTGTATAGTAGCAGAGGTGGCTCTAGATACAGCAGCTGGTACTAAAACTGTATATCAAACATAAACAATATAGTACATTTACAACATAGTACATAGACAATATAGTACAATATAGTACAATATAGTACATAAACAACATAGTACATTTATTTGTTTTACTACGGAGTTATAAATGTATCTATAATATATACCTCAATTGTCTCATTCATATTTAGACATCTAACATCAAGCAATGAACAAATGAGTGATGTGGAGAGAGACCAGATTGACACAGCTGCACAAGAATTTATTCGGAACTGCTCCGAAACCCTGAAATCAATTAAAGCAATTGGTAAACAAAAAATGGCTGAACTATTTTTGCTATATATTCATAAATACATAGTGCAACAGGTATGGATATATATGGGCATTTGTGTCTAATCATCCATGTTTATTAACTATTTAATGCAGTGCGAATGTTAATGTTTCAATGTTCATTATAATAGGAATCTGAACAATAAATGAAACCTTCTCATCATATGGCATTAGTGACAGTCTACTTGTAGCACCCGTGACAAGGTAAATTTGCTAGATGTTCCAGATTTCTATCATAAATGATAAAGATATTTAAAATTGTTTCTCACTTTAATTGTAGCAATTTCAAAGGACATTTCATCGCAGGCATGCGAACATCGATATGCCGTTCTATCATTGATTGACGGCTATTTAAAAGGCAAGTATCAAGTTAACGTTTAAATGAAAAAAAAAATAAATATTATACATGATGTCATCTTACTATAATTTGGCGAATGTTGTATGTATGTATGTATGTTAATGAAAGGCTCCGCCAGTTTTGATCAAAATAGCGCCAAATTCACAGAAGAGATCGATGAATACACGGGACGGGTTCTAAACTATACTCGGTTGAAAACGGTAAAAAAGGCTTAAAAAAGACAACAAAAAAAGGTAAAGATTTGCCTGAAAATAGGGGGCGCTATATCTTTGCCTTGCTAATATTTCGCCGTCTGTCAACGTTGTGCTGCATGTAAGCCCAATAATGATTTTTATGATTTTTGTAAGCCCAATAATGTAAGTAGAAAGAAGCATGTGATAATGAAGTTAAATGTCAATGTCAAGGTCAATCTATTCTCTTATCTCTCTGGGTATTGAACAGTCGGTACCACATGCATCACAGTCACTAAGCCCGCGCTTAGCGCGGGTTCCAGCTAGTGTGTTATAACACATAGAAATATGAATAAGTTTACGTTTTTTTTACCGGCACCACATTATTTAAAGTTTGCATTCGCATAGTTTGTGAAGATAATGCTGTTAAACTACCACTTATATTTATTAGTCTATCGGAACATGTTGTTAAAACATGTTGGTATGTATACTTTACTTGCTACATCACACAATCTAAAGTTATATTGAATAATTTAGAATGTGCATGCATGGCTAAAATCTAGTAAGAATGATTAAGAAGTTTAAAATATAATAAAATCAATGGTAACAAACCTGTGCAATGCTATAAAAAAAAGTTTTTTTCTGCTTGCAGCTGTATGTAAGATATATAGTGAGCAGAGGGTGATACGAATGAAAAGAATGGTGGATGTTAAGCGAATGTAAGTGACACCAGCATTCTTATTCAATTATTCAGGAGTGCTACTAAATGTTCAGTTACATATCATGTCTCATTTCTACTATACGGTTGTTGTAAAAATAATAGCCAAACGGTATGGATGTATATTACTCTAAATTGAGTTGGCAATAAATATTTAATTACAATAAGTATATGTGTCAGCACAAAGAGTATTTATATAATTCTTAACAAAATATCAAGTTTAATTGTTGGATATTGAATGTAGTGTGGCTTGCAGTTGAGAAAGTTTTATGTGTACCTCTGTCAGGGCAAGACTGGAACCAGAACGTAAGCAACATTCACCAGCTGTCAACCAGAGGAACAATGCAGATAACAATGACAAGCAGTCTTTTTCTTCCAGTCGGATAGCCGATTCTTCTACCAAAAGTACAAATGAACCAGATATTACAAGTATATTTCAGATAGTATGAAAATATTTCTTTTGTGTGCGAAATCATCATGTACGTTCCATGCATAGCAACGTTTAGCAAGTTACATAGCAAGGATTCTACCTGAAAATTCTGTGATTTCAATCAAGATAAGTGCAGAATGTTGTTTTTCAGAGAATAAAGTTTCCAAGCTTGATACCTCGTGGCAGGAGGAGAGTGATGAAGTTGTAATTGATGGAGATGCCATTTCACCAGAAGAGATGCAAATGGTATGTGATAGAGCTGGTGCCCAAGCCAATTTATAATTTTTGTTGCTTTACCCGTGGGATAACCTACCGTCATTATATAACATTTTTAGCCATTGTTAGCCATCATAATAATAAATTTTAATTTGATGGAGTTTAATGTTCTAATATTGTATTATTTTTATGTCCTATAGTTTCAGCAAGAGAACGAAAGAATTTATGAAGACATGAATAACATGGTCAATGAAGTGCGGTAAGTGCGTAAATATCCCAGGCTGCCTATCTTGGAGGATATTGTGGTATTTATAAGTTTGCATTCTAATTTCTATTTGTTTTACATTTAAGTCATGCAAAATGAGCGTTTGCAGGCATATTAAAAAAGTTCTTTTTTTAAATTTATATTGTGCGTTATTTGTGTGTTCGTGAGTCGTGAGTCGTATGGCGTATGTCGCTGGCGGAGGTATGCACTCTCCGTGAGTGCACTCTGTCTAGTTCTATATGTGTTTCCACAATCTTCTGCTTTTCCCAGAAAAATAGAAGGCAGTGTTATAGAAATATCAAAATTGCAGCAGGTTTTTACGGAGAAAGTCTTGGAACAGGTAGGCATGCACACGTACATATTTTTTGCAAAATCTGTATGATTCATAGATATTTACAATAATATAATACAATAACTACTGTTATATATATATGGGTGTGCATTATTATTGTATATGTATGTATAATTAATATAATATAAACATTTATGTATACTATAAGTCTTGATATCATAGTATAGTCTGCTATAATTTATATTTGATGCCAGTGGTGGTTGGTAATTTAAAATGTTCCACAGGCTAAGGATATCGATCGCGTATTCGACACTGTTGTTGGGACGACAGAAAACATTAAGGAGGGAAATGAACAGATACGAGAGGTGAGTGGGCAAGTAAATGTACAGCGTTGCCTCCACCAACAGAGATGAACATCTAGATTTCTTCCTCATTTCTCGTTCACGATACATTTTGAAGTAAGGCGAATCAATCTTTCTGCTTTGTACATCTTGCATGTATTTGGAAGTGACTTTCTGTAAGCATGTAAATAGGTTGTGTCGAAATCACCATGTTAATTACCAACAGGAATGTGATGTAGTTTAGGAGTGGTCAGGCAATGGTGATAGCATCACGATGTTTGTTTCAGGCGATGAAGAACAATGCTGGATACAGGGTCTACATACTTTTTTTTCTCGTCGTTGTGTCCTTCTCCTTGCTATTCCTGGACTGGTATAGCCCATAATTCTCAAAATGTTTTAAGTGCTGCTCTAATCATGGTAATGTCTGACACGTTAAACCCAACACATTTAAATCAATGCATTAATTGCAATTGCTTGTTGACAGTACTGATATCATGCTGGTCATGGGGTCTCTATTTAATGGGAAGTTGTTGTTATGTAGTATTTGATAATAGCGTTACAATTCATAATAAAGTTTACTCTAAGAGTATCTCTTATTCATATTTTATTATATTCTTCCATGGTTCTTTTATTTAACATAAAATAATATATATAATCTATAATATATAGCTACTATAAACAGCTTTGGTGGTTTCACATCACATATAGTACAATCAAAATTCGATATAATTAAATATAGTTGCGAGTTAAACACGTACACGTCCATGTCGAGTGTGATTATAGTGCACACGTAATATTTTTAATCGATCGTGACTGCTTTGTTTACAAAGTGGCAGTCAATTCCGGGGCGGATTTCTTATGGAACCTCTGGCACGCAGCACACATCAGCGGCCATCATTGTGTGCAGTCTTTGACCCAGCGACGTGTCGGGGTGGCCCTGGTGTGATACGGCGATGGTGGAGGTGGTGTGGATGTGACCATGACTTGGTCACATACCAGGTAGGTTGTGATGTGGTGTGGTGGGGCAGGGTGGGCCAGGTGTATTGCGACGTAGTTCCAGGAATGTGAAGGTGTTGGGCGGCAGGGATCACAACCCAGTGACGTGCCAGGAGTGGGGTTGGTGTGATGCGGCGATGGTGGAGGTGGTGTGGATGTGATCATGACCCAGTTACATATGCCCCTACCAGGTAGGTTGTGGTGGGGCGGGGTGAGCCAGGTGTATTGCGACATGGTTCCAGGAATGTGAAGTTGTTGGGCGGCAGGGATCACAACCCAGTGACGTGCCAGGAGTGGGGTTGGTGTGATGCGGCGATGGTGGAGGTGGTGTGGATGTGATCATGACCCAGTTACATAGGCCTCTACCAGGTAGGTTGTGGTTTGGTGGAGTGGGGTGGGTTGGGTGTATTGCGACGTAGTGCCAGGAGTATGAAGGTGTTGGGGGCGGGGATCACTACCCAGCGACGTGCCAGGAGTATGAAGGTGTTAGGGGCAGGGATCACGACCCAGCGACGTGCCAGAAGTGTGAAGGTGTTGGGGACGGGGACCACGAGCTAGCGACGTGCCGGGAGTGAGGGGCGGTGGTGTGTACGTGTGGATGGGTGTAGGCTCGTCATACATAGGTGCCAATCACCAGGCTCTCGTACACTTGCTTCGTGTACAGCAGCCAGCCGATGTAGCGCTTCACGGTGAGGTAGTCACGCATGTCGCGACGACTCGGGTTGACCATGCCGACGTAGGCGTCGAGTGGCGTTCGGGCGTCGGACACCGGCAGCGCCGCGTCCCCTGACGCCGCCATCGACATCTCGACGTTGCGAATGAGGCGACGCAGCTCGGTGAGCAGCATGTTGAAGCTGATAGCGGCACAGCGCGTGTCCTTGAGGATCGTCAGGTGCGCGTCGTAGATCTGCAGCGCCGCGACGATCGTCTGCTGCTCGACACTCACCTGAAATCGCCGCGGTAACGATGACGACGCGGCCGGCCAATTGGCGTTCGTGTAGAATCGCCATGGTTACTGATTGAATCTACTAACCTGCATACTGGCACTCGATTAGAATCACCATGGTTACCATGTAAAACACACCGACGCATTGGTGCTCACGTGAAATCACCATGGTTACCAAGTCACAATCGCCTGTTATTTAGCATCAACCCACGGAATGACACTTGTACAAAATCCACATCGTCACCAGTTCAATTCTGCATACTTTTTTACCATCCACATAAAATTCCAAGGCTGCCTGCTGCTTTCACACGCAGTTGTAGTTACCATGGATGCCAAACTCGACACTCCACTATTCCTCGAATTCTAATTAGAAGCCAACCTTATTCTCCCATCGCTATCTATTTATCAGTGTGGTAGTTGGCTTACGTTCAGGTGGTTGAGCAGTGTCGTGTTGACTTCTCCGGGCTCTGGGGGCAATACAGTCGACCGTACCGTCACGTTCATGATTTGTTGGCTGAACCTCAGAGAAGCCTGAAAACATTTACGTTAAAGTGTTTTAGAACAAATGTCGATATGTTAGAGATGTCACACGCGCATTATAGCAGTAGAATGTATCCACTTTAAACCCCGTCAATATGCTATTATATCTTAATTTTGTAATTGATTACACAGTTCTATGTTGCACGTTGACAATATATGTTGCAGGTAACAGCTTAAATCTATTGCTGGAAACTTCATTGGTAAATTCTTCGTATAACCCATTGCGCATGACCAACCTCTTTACCCCGAACGTTATATGACGTACCAAACATTTTTTCATCTGAATGGCGTACTCCAGTGCTACATCAGCTCTTTTAACGATTTTCTCGTAGCATACGGACAGTGACCTTGGACTGCAAATGGTATAAGCTGGTGTTGAACGCGTGCTAGTGTTGTTATAATTCATGCCGAAAGTGCCATTCGCGCCTATGCTTGTCGAAGTTGCAGTTTCCTCTTGACTGTCTTTAGTCGTTTGGTATCTCGTGTCGTTTACAGTTGATGTATCGTCTGCAGCGTAGTCACCGGTGACGTCATCAGCAGCAGTAGATCTAACTATTCTCGTTAGTGAAATTGTTGGGAATGCCGTGTTTATTTTTCTTCTACCTTGACTGGTAGGAGTGGAATGTGTTGTTAGAGTATAATATGCATCTTGTTGCTGGGTGCTAATAGGGAAATCATTTCGGACGAAATTTGTACTTCCATCCTCAAATTTACCGGTAGAAAGTGTGATAGTGCTTTTGGAAATGGTCGTGCTAGGTGCTTCGGGTGTCGAAGTGACGTCTGCCTGTATGAACTTCGTGCTAAGATCCAAGCTATCATCGGAGATTCCACTGGATCCACTCGTCATTGTGAAATTTAGGGCCGAATCTTGTGAAATTTCAGATGGACTCGTTGTCTGGGTGTGAATGTTTGAAGAAGTACTAGTAGAAGTTGGTTTACTATAGTTAGTATCGTTATGTTGAGGGTAACGAGTGGAAATTGATTCACTGTCGATCACACCACTATGATAAGAAGCAATAGCGGAAGTTGATTCACTGTTATTCTCGCGAGTTTGTTGAGCAGCAGAGGTAGACGTTGGTTCACTGTAGTTCGTAGCAGTATATTGAGAAGCGGTGGTAGAAGTTGGTTCACTATAGTTCGTAGCAGTATATTGAGAAGCGGTGGTAGAAGTTGGTTCACTATAGTTCGTAGCAGTATATTGAGAAGCTGTGGTAGAAGTTGGTTCGCTATAGTTCGTAGCAGTATATTGAGAAGCAGTGGTAGAAGTTGGTTCGCTATAGTTCGTAGCAGTGTATTGAGACGCAGTGGTAGAAGTTGGTTCACTATAGTTCATAGCAGTATATTGAGACGCAGTGGTAGAAGTTGGTTCACTATAGTTCGTAGCAGTATGTTGCGAAGCAGTGGTAGAAGTTGATTCGCTGAAGTTCGTAGCAGTATATTGAGAAGCGGTGGTAAACGTTGGCTCACTGTAGTTCGTAGCAGTATATTGAATAGCAATAGAGGAGGTTGATTCAGTATAGTTAGTGGCGTTAAGTTGGGGGTAAATAGTGGAAACTGATTCACTATAGTTAGTAGCACTATGCTGAAGATTTTTATAAGAAGTTGGTTCACTGTTATTCCAACCAGTATGTTGAGTAGTAATAGTTGTTTCACTATAGTTCGTAGCAGCACGCTGAGGAAGAGTGGTAGAGGGCGATTCACTATAGTTTGTACCACTATTTCTAGAGGCAATAGTGGAGGTTAGCTCACTGTAGTTCGTACCGTTGTATGGAAGAGCAATAGTGGAAGTAGTAGAGGTTGTGTTATTCCAGCCAGTATCTTGAGCAGCAGGTGTGGAAGATGATTCAATGTAAATCCCACCACTATGTTGAGGCCCACTGCTAAATTCGGATTCACTATATTTCGTGTCGTTATACTGAGACACAATAGTAGGAGTTGATTCGCTGTAATTCGTACTATGATGTTTAGCAGCCACCGGAATAGTTGATTTACTGTTATTCCAGCCAGTGTGTTGAGTAGAAATAGTTGAGGATGATTCACTATCGTTCTCATTAGTGTCGTTGGCATAGGAGGCAGTGTTGCTGGACGAAGAGATGTGTGAGCTTATTTCTTCACTGGCTTCGATGGAGGAATCGGCTGTGGGGAATGTCCATTGGCTACTATCTGTGCGTGAATCATCGGAAACATCACTGACTGCCATCTTTGTTGACGCCGACTTCTGCCCATCTACTGAAGTACTGTTTTCACGAATAAGGTCACTCTTCACAGTGTAGCTGCTGACTTGGAATGTTCCAGCAATACGACTGGAACTGCTGGTTGAGAGGTCTGTAGTATCCATCGTTCCACCTGATATAGACAGTACCTGTTGAGTGTAGGGCAGGTAACTCGGCTGCCCTGTTGTTGCTGATGACGGTGATGATAGTGATGATGGTGGTGGTGGTGATGGGGGTGGTAGTAGTGATGACACTGATTCTATTGATGGAAGTGGTGGTGCTGATGACGTTGATGGCGTTGACGAGGATGCTGAAGAAAGGGACGGTATCGAGGATTTTGCTGACACAATTGTTGGGTGTGGTGATGAAAATAGTACTGATGCTGATGATGATGCTGGTGCTGATGCTGATGATGATGCTGATGATGATGCTGGTGCTGATGCTGATGATACTGATGACGATGATGGTGATTGTGACAATGTTGTTATTGTTGGTGGCAAAGGCAGCGATATTGATGATGTTGTTGTTCTTACAGAAGATGAGAATGTTGTTGCTTCTGTCGGTGAGGATAGCAAAGGTGCCGGTGCAGGTGCCGGTGCAGCTGTTGTTGTAGTGGTGGTTCTCCTTGTAGTAAGCTGACTATATGTATCATTCTCAGTAAATGAATATTTATGGGTCGTAAGGCCCTTTGTTACGGCTACGCTATCTTTTCCTACTAGAGACGACGATGCATTTCTACCCGCAGTTGACATCGTCGTAACACCACCCGTCGCACCAACTATACTGGATCTCGATGACGTTGATGACGTTGGCATGCTTGATTTCATTCGCTGTCGAGCGAGAGTAGCAGAAGATGATGTGATTTCATTGGAGACGGATCTAGGTTGCTTAGCAGTTGTAATGACCGAAGTTGGTAGAAACGATGGAGTCACTGTAGCTCTAACGTCAGTGATAGTCGTGGCAGCTACTGGATTATCAGTCTGACCGGCAATTGGATCGGTGGACACAGCCAGAGGCATCGTAGTCGTGAAACGGACATTTGTTGTTTGCCTTGTCTCTGTGTCGACCGTAGAGGACGCGGGCAGTGATATCGGTGTATCTAGATCTGCATGGGGAGCGATGGGCATGTCAGCCGTAGCGGATGTGATGGGTGAAGTCGATGCATCTTCTTGATTCGTGGTCGCAGTCATGTAGTCGCTATCGAGCGTAGCATGCGACCAATGTGCCGATGTAGAGGCGGGCAGTGACATCTCACTGTAGCTGGCCGTCCCTGATAGTACGAGGGTAACCAAAAGCCACCAAGCTGAAAAGATGAAAACGGCAATGCAATGAATACGATTACAAAACACGATTGTAATGAATTTGTTCAAACAAGCACATGAGTCAGCAGCTGATGATGACACGTTAACGGTATAAATAACCTCCCGCCCGCGTCCGAACGCACGTGTGTGCATGAGTGCGCGTGTGCGCCCGTGTGCGCGCATGTTACCTCTGTATTCCGGGCTATATTCATAAATGAATGATACATTCTAGTATTTTACATGCGATTCCCATCGCGTCTGTTCATGCTCCGAAATGCTCTATAGTTACCAGGAACGGAAAATGTAGGTATATACCTCTATATTACGCACGATGACATATAGTTGTTTCAAATATCGCGCGCGACGAGTGGCGCGGCCAATGGACTTACATGTCGTGACGCGGTATAGCTCTCCACCGCGTCGATTCGTCATGATCTCCGCGTCTGATCATCTATCTATCACACAGCACTCGGCAGGCGTACGCGCACACGTCGAGCGTGTGCCGCATTATATCCACAACAAAAGCACATCGCGTAACCGCTATATCTCCACTCCACGCGCTACGGGGAAGGTGCGTGGGGGCTGCGACGTCCGGTACGCTCACCTGGGGGATGTATATAGTAGCTAGACGAACCCCCAGGGCGCTGGGAATGTCGTTACTCACCGTGAAGAATGACATTCTTTCGGAGACGTTCCCAGCAGAGTCGTACGTGCGCGGAACTCGTACGTGTGGAGTGCGCTTTAGCTGGACTTAATTGGAAACATAGGCGTGATGAGGTATAGGTGAGTACAGAAGTAGATAATAGGGATTATGAGATAGTATCAAGATAATAATATATATTGGATAATAATTCCTATTATCTACTTCTGGTGAGTATAGCTACAGCTAGGTGTTCATGAACTGAAGCGACCAGCAGCTACAGGAAAGGGGTCGTCCGGGGATGTCTGTATACGCATTCAGGGATGTCTGCGTTTGAAAAGGACACTGAGAGAATGTGAAAGCGGAGGATGATAAAAGTAGCGAGACAAATCTGCAGTGCCAGACCCGGGTTGGGCGCGTGACGAAGTCAGGAAATGGAGGAAAATAAGAAAGTGAAATAGATCACTTAATTACTCCGCATAATGCTATTACTACGCATGTCACGTACGATCACGAGCATAACGGCAAAATTACAATGCTAGTGTTAATAACTGCACACGCATACGTAACTTGGTTTTATCATGGTTTTATATATAATACATTGCGACAATTTGTTCTTGAACAGTATGCCTGCATGCTGTGTGTTTTCACACGGGTTAAAAACGCTCTGCGGGTCAAATTTTAACGTAGCAGTTTAACGCGCCGTCGAATAGACGCGCTGATATCCGCGTGTGAACCCGACGATTTAGTTCGTTAGAAATTTTGTTTTTGCATCGTGATGATGTGGTGATTTGCCCAGCACTATAAAACCTAGCGTGTGCATGACGCAAGCGCGCAGGTTCACGTCGCGAAATTGATTTTATGTTTGTGTATTGTTTGGAATTTTCTCAGAACGAATAAATGCTATTATAATTTTCGCCGAAAGTTCCGCTGTTGGCCTAACACCACGGACACTCGTATGCGCGTGTGCACATGCATGTACGCGACGTAGGTATATATTCGCTCACGCGCAGTTCGTTATGAAGGTTATATATACGGTAACCTTTCGATTATATATATTTCCATCATATATAATTCCATTATATATGAAGGTTATAACCTTCATAACGAACTGTGCGTTAGCGAATATATACCTACGTCGCGATAGCCTACGTCGCCTACGTCGCGATATATAACTCGGATTCCATTCGAACCCATCGACTTTCCTAAAGAGTCGTAACATCGAATAAATGCTATTATAATTTTCGCCGAATTAAATGTTCCGCTGTTGGTAACTCGTATGTGCGTGTGCACATGCATGTACGCGACGTAGGTATATATTCGCTCACGCGCAGTTCGTTATGAAGGTTATATATAACCTTTCGATTATATATAATTCCATTCGATATATTCCATTCGAACCTATCGACTTTCCTAAAGAGTTGTAACATATATACGCACGTATATGCGATGTAGAGAAACTCACCAAACATTTTGGCGTTGTGTTATGGTGTAGGCGTGTTCTTCTCGTGCAATATCGTGGCACATGTACGATGCTAGTTTGGGATATACGACGCATTGCTGCCCATTATATATGTGTGGACATATACGCGCATGATTGCATCAGGATCGAGCTGATTGGGCGTTTTCGGGCACGAATACTGCATGATTTTATACACTCATAACGCACGAAATCAAAACTAGCTGCGCTGCGCATAACGTATTTTCTAATTTGCTGCGTTCATCATGCAATCGTGTCAAAACCATGTGCAATCCTCCTCATTCTCCCTTCTTTATGTATATATATATATATATATATATATATATGTGTGTGTGTGTGTGTGTGTGTGTGTGTGTGTGTGTGTGTGTGTGTGTGTGTGTGTGTGTGCGTGGCGTGCGTGCGTGCGTGCGTGCGTGCGTGCGTGCGTGCGTGGCGTGCGTGGCCGTGCGAGAGAGAGCGAGAGAGAGAGAGAAAGTGAGAGAGAGAGAGAGAAAGAGAAAGAGAGAGAGGGAGAGAGAGAGAGAGAGAGAGAGAGAGAGAGAGAGAGAGCGGCGGGAGAGAGAGATGAATATACTTATTTAGACAGACATACGTACGCACGCACGCACACGCGTGCACACACGCGCATGTATACTCACATACACATGTAATGACGTAGATATCGAATTATTTAAGCTAGTATAAAACCTAGCGACACGGGTCGTTTAACGTAGCAGATCACGTCATATGTTATTTTTAGTAGCAACCAAGGCAACAAGCGAAGGACGCCACCCAGCCATCCCGAGAAACTGAGTCACTGGAAAACGAGTAAAGGTTCTCACCCACGACGGCAGAGTGACAGTTTAGTACCTCTAGAAGGACAATCACAGTTTGATGTCGCATGCCGACTGATGAAGATCAAACAACGAACGCCGTCGACAAATGTGAACTATGTGAACTATGAGAACATGAATCGAACTGCCGCGATTCCACCCAGATTCAAGAAGCATCCACAGCTCTTACGCTTCAGTCACCTATAAAAATGTTGGAGATGACGAGACGTCTTGCACCACCATCGCCAACAAGGCCTTGACCACGCTCGGGCCACGCATATGCCTACCTCCAGAAGCATAAATAGGGACAGATTTGGACAGGAAGAGTGAGGCAGTTCCACGGTGCCTGAGAGTTCACGACGCTGTCAGCATCGCGCTACTCTCACCTGCTCTCGTCACCACGCTACCATCGCCGCCGGACATCTCTCGCTGAGGACCTGCCTGCTGCCTGCTGCTTATAGGACGTAACATATGAACCATTTGTAACGTATTTACTTGTTGGCCTGCGTGCACCTATGATTGTATATGATTATCACGCTGATGTTGATTATTAAATAATAGAGTAACCGTAGTAATTCTGTAGTTATAGCATTATACTGTCTGTGGCTTAAGTGTAATAGCACACGTATCTGTTGTACAAACGAACCTGGTCACACTATACGATCACATGTGTCTGCTGCTGCTATACGTAGTACGGGGCGCCATGCAGGACAGGCATTTTTGTACCTATAAACTTGACAAAAATGAGTTTTGTGAACACAAAACTCATTCTGTCAATCCTGTCCACAAAACTCAATTTTGTGACACAAAAAAACTCAATTCTGTCAAACCGTTCCACAAAACTCAATTTTGTAAACACAAAAACTCATTCTGTGGAACCGTTCACAAAACTCAATTTTGTAAACAAAAACTCAATTCTGTCGAACCGTTCCACAAAACTCAATTCTGTCGAACCGGTTCCACAAAACTCAATTCTGTCGAACCGGTTCCACAGAATTGAGTTTTGTGTTTACAAAATTGAGTTTTGTGGTACAGGATTGACAGAATTGAGTTTTGTGTTCACAAAATTGAGTTTTGTGGGACTACGGGGCGCCATACGGGGCGCCATGCAGGACAGGGCTCAATTCTGTCGAACCGGTTCCACAAAACTCGATTTTTGGCCCAAATATGGCACACGCATGAAAAAGGGCTACCATTGGTCAGAAGAAACCAATGGTAGCCCTCTTACATGCGTGTGCAATATTGGGCAACAAAATCGAGTTTGTGGAACCGGTTCGACAGAATTGAGTTTTGTGTTTACAAAATTGAGTTTTGTGGAACCGGTTCGAACAGAATTGAGTTTTGTGTTTACAAAATTGAGTTTTGTGGAACCAGTTCGACAGAATTGAGTTTTGTGGAAGCAGGATTGACAGAATTGAGTTTTGGTGTTCACAAAATGAGTTTTGTGGAACCGGATTGACAGAATTGAGTTTTGTGTTTACAAAATGAGTTTTGTGTAACGGATTGACAGAATGAGTTTTGTGTTCACAAAATTGAGTTTTGTGAGACAGAATTGAGTTTTGTTAGACAAAATTGAGCCCTGTCCTGCATGGCGGCCCGTACGTAGAACACACGAGCTTTTCTATACACAAACAACTACACACAAACAAACACACACGCGCGCGCGCGCGCACACACGCGCATGTATAGCCTACTCACATACACACAACGACACACAAACAAACACACGCGCGCGCACATGCTATAGTCTATGGCTTATGTAATATATTCCAGATTTGTCATTTTTTTGGGTAGATTCTTGGCACTCATGTCTAAACACATCTAGAATCTTCACTGATTAAGAAAAAAATGGGTGCCAGTTTTTCCATTAACATTTAGGGCCTCCATTTTGAATTTCAAAATGGCCATCGCGGAAAATCTTCTTTTTTTAAATAATTTCCAATTAACCAATCATATCATGCAAATGTCATACAATATTTATTCTATTTTATTTAAACTCATAATAAGAGATCAAAAGATTCATTAGAAACAAAATAGAGCACTCGAAAATACTTAAATTAGCAAAAATCCAAGATGGCCACCATATTTCAGGCTTTTTCTACGTAAAATGCCATACGTTTGTACCAATGGACATTGGAAGATTTTTTTGGTGTCTAATCATAGTTTTTAGTTGGCATATGAGGATTCCAATAATAACAACGTATTTATGATTGGAACACTCTTTACCATCCTCCAAAAGCACTAATTAAGAGAAATAATGTAGAAGATGTAATTCAATAACGCAATTCAATTTACAATTGAAGATGGATTTTTTTTTT